TTAATAAATCTCTGGCATGGCATTGATTCCTGCAATGACATGTTGGTAGCAGATGTTGCAGCTAGTGCTCCTATTGAGCCTGTTTTTACAAATACTGATATCACTGTTTCTAGTGTTGATTTAAATGTTGATTCATTACCTTTTGCTACTACTAATACTGTTTTCATTAATGATGTTGAATTAACAAGCAGTGAACCTCCAGATACTGCTTCAGCTGATGCTGATTCAATACTTTGTCCAGTTGTTAATAATATACCTTCCACTACTACTGTTCTTATTAATGGTGTAGATTCACTGACATGTTATTCAACAAGCGGCAATTGTAATGTAGTTGATTCACTTCCTTGTTCTTCTGCAAAAGCCGTTAGTTTAATTGATGCTCAATCCTTACCTTGTATATCCTCTGACAATGAACACTCACTTCCTGAAGCTAATGCTAGCTTTTCTAATATTATTTTAAAAAGAGTACGAGTTAAGGGCAGGCCAAATAATAAACAGAATTTCACTAGGAGAAAAAGAAAGCATTCAGTTCCTTTAAAGTTCGACAAATTGACAGATGATGTTAAGTTTGAATTGTATGTAAATGCATGTGTGACAGGTGGTGAGCCCCCGTACACTATAGATCAATTAAAGTCGCCTAGTCTGTTGGGTGCATGTTTAGTGGATCATAATTTTAGCTCCATTCAAGATAAATTTCTTGATGATGCCTGGAGGGAATTGTTGGCTCGAGTTAGTATAAAAAGTCAAGATAATCTATTTTCTTGCAGTTCTTGTCAAACTATAGATGATGGTGAGCTAAAGATGGTACAGTGTGATCATTGTCTGGAATGGTTCCACTATGATTGTGCTGGGTATAGATCCAGTATGAGGATAAAATCATGGTTTTGTCAGTCATGCTGGTAATTTAATTCTTTTTTACTGCGCTGTTAATATATATCCATAATTGTAGTGTGTATTCTTATTCTTTTGTAATTTCAGTTCATTCATTATTTATGCTTGGCTTGGTATTGTATGTTGATATATATTGATATATATTTTGTCTATTATTTTTCATTTATTTTATTCATGTTTATTTTATTAACAGTATGAATATTTTTTTTCTACGTTTCATTATGTACTTCATTAATTCAATTCATAAGGATTTGTTTTTTCTAATCAAATTTTGGATGTTGCTAACATTTATAACATATTCATTATATTGAGATTATTCTTCTATATCTTAAGTACACGATTAATTTATTGATCATTTTTGGCTCCTATACATGTAGAGGGGATTTGCAATTTTTCTGTGCCTGGTGTTGAGGACATTTCAATGATTTCCAGTGTCACTTTGTGAGGGAATCATGCACTGGGGGTTTGAAGGCTTGAGGCAATAGACCCAAATGAGTCTAGCGTTGTCGCCTCAACTATTCCTTTTGCAAGCTAGATTGTCTTGGGCAGGAAGGAGCAGCTCCTATATTGGCTTCTTGCTGGTATGAGCCTGAATTTCTATGGGGCAGATGGACGAGTTTCCTAAAGTGGTTTAGGACAAAGCGTGCTGCTTGTCGCTGGACCGCCTCCAACCTGTCGATGCTCTTCTAGATAAATGGATCCCAGGCTGAAGATGCATAATCTAAAACCAGACGGACAAAGGCTTTATAATTTATAGGCTCTTTCTTTCACACAGGACTTGCCAATCTTTAGATTAAGCCCCAGGGTCTTGTTTGCTTGGTTACATACATTGTTAAAATGCTTGTCCCAGCGGACCTCTCTTTGAATGGTAACACCCAGGTACTTTACGGGAGAAACTGGCTCAAGTATATGGTCTTGCAGTTCGTATTGGTAGTGTAGAGGCGTACTACTTTTAAAGACTGATAGTGCCTGGCACTTGGCAGAGTGAAATTCCTTGTCCCAGCTCATCTCCCACTCAGCTAACAGATTGAGATCCTGTTGTAGCTGGTCCTGGTCAGATCTGTTGGCGAGTGTCCTATACACCGCTGGGTCATGTGCGAACAGTCTGGAATGTCAGATTCTCGGGTAGGTCATTGTCTGCTAGGAACAAACAGGGGCCTAGCACTGATACCTGGGGGACCCCTGACTTCACATTGACAAAGGAGCTTGTACCGTCCACAGACCTGTTTACTCTTACGATTCTGGCGTACAATGTACGATTTTGAGGTGTTAGCATGTATACTGTATGTTTATTTTTTTCTATAAATATAAGGTATTGTACGATTTTATGAGTTTGAGAGTAAACAGGTCTGCGTCCACCACTACTGCTTGGCTGAGGAAGCTAGAAATCCATGTTTTAGTGGTGCCTTGGATCCCTGATCTATGGACTTCGAGTTGAAGCAATGTATGATTCACACTGTCAGATGCCTTTGCGAAGTCCATCAGCAACACATTTGGTTTTTCTTACTCTACATGTTTATTATTATTTTTTAAAATAACTATGCCTAATTTGTTAATAAATGTTATTAAATTTATTATGTTTTTTTTAGTTGTTTCATACTTGCATGTTTCTAATTCTCTAATGAACCTACTAAGTAAGAATATTATAGGGACAGAATGCTGATTAAAACCATAGTTTCAGTGGGCGGTGTGTCTTAAAAAAAAACCATGTGAGGAAAAATGTGTTATGTTAAAGGAAATAGTGTTGAGTCGACAGTGATGAGTTCTGTTGAGTATGTAGTTTTTTTATTTTTGTTGAAAGTGACATTGATGTGGATGTAGGCACAGGAGTGAGCTTTTAGGTGGAGTTTGTTATGCATTTCAACCCACATGCATACAAATTACAAAGGATTAAATACATGAATATGAATTGTTACAGTGTTGTGTGTTATTTGATTCTTACAATACATCAGCTCTGCAGGAGCTTGGAAGAAAGGTGTTCTAGACTACATACCCATGTAATCTAAATTTACAGTAGTAATTTACAGTTAATGACATTGACATGGGAATAAAATCTTGAGTTCATTAATAAAAATACTTTGACGGTAACTAAAAAACTGCAGTTGTTGACTTGTCATAACATAATTGATAAGCCTAAACTCACCATTACCATGTACTCAACATACATTTTAATGATTCATGACATGGACTTCAATATCTAGTTCTATCCTCTACCACTAATAATTGGGTCTGGATAGATGTGCCGGGAAAGGGGGTGGGGGGATATCATAGTCTTTAAAAAATTTACACAGCTCCTTCTTTGCCGAAGTAAAACGTGCTCATTTGAAAATAAATCCAACTCAGAAATATAGTTTTATGGTACAGCCTACGGTGTTTTTTAAAAAATAGATAACACAAGCTTTTGGCCAAGCTATCTTTAGGAACATGGTCACCTGGTAACCCCCCACCCCCTCTTCTTTTATCCATCTTCTGGTGGGAGATATGCTTACTGAGTATTATTTACACAATTGAGCGCTCGTTAACTCATAATAAAGACATTGATATTTTTATGGACAGTTTCGGTAAATTGCTCATCTATAACACAAACGTATATTTAAACGTCTAGCAATTTCTATTTACTAACTTACTACGCCAAAGTTATGTATTTAACAGAACAGAATCCGATGAAAACATAGGCCGTGATACATAAAATATTAACAAACATAAAAGTAAAGTGTAGTCTAGTATGCTTTGGAAATCCGATTTGGAGTGAATGATGATTTAACCCAGAAGTAAGTTTACAAAAATATTGTACATTCAATTATCTTTCATTTGATACCAAATTTTGTCTTACAAATCCTATAATATTTTAAAATGAAATTTTGATAAACCCAAACTCTCACTTCTCAGACCCGGGTCCAAATAACCACAGCATAAGACTTAATAAGTGCAATTTCAATGATGTCATTCAAAACAATAGTGCCAAAAATTCTTTGTCAATACTGCAGTACATCAATCTATCACTAATTATTTGTTTTTGATAGTAAACTACTACTAACTACTACTGGTAATAGAATACCAATAGCTCTCTAGAAGCTATTTGTAGTTAAAACTACCAATAGCTCTCTAGAGGCTATAGGTAGTTAACTACCAATAGCTCTCTAGGGGCTATTGGTAGTTGACTACAAATAGCTCTCTAGGGGCTATTGGTAGTCAACTACCAATAGCCGTAGCCAAAAAAAAAATGCGGTGCTATCTATTCACTTTACCAACGGTTCTTAATTCAAAGAAATTTGCTGACCCCTGCACTAGTCCAACAAAGCCCACCGCCCAATGCATGCCAAAGTCAATAATAAGAACTGAAGTTCAATGAATTCAATTGTCAAATTTATTTTTTTTTCTATTCTATAACTATAAATAACCTACATCAGATTGACGATTAATGCAATGGAAATTACGAATAAATTGATCACAATAAATTAAACTGTATTAGGTGCCGCAGCTTCAAAAATATACATTTTTAACACATATTTAAGTAATTAAACAGTTTTAAACTATTAGAAATGCTCACCGAGCTGCCCATCTTCTTCTAAATCGTCCATTTTGTTACTAAAAATAATTATTAAAAACTATCGGAAGCAATGTCGTAAACGTGATATAATACTTTCAATAATTTAACAATAAAAATGCTAAATCTTATTTTTTATTTGTTTTTAATTTAATTAGCTGATGTAATAATAAAACTTAATTTTTTTTAAATGAATTGCATATAATTATTTAGTTAAGAGTACTATTTTTGGGTAACTTGAGTAAAGTCCGGACAGTAAATATGCGGTGTGTTATCGTGGACTAATGGGCATGGGGTGGGAAGGTGTGGTGAACGAGGCGAACTTGTCTGCTATTTTTACATTTCATAAATACTACAATTATATTTTTGACAACTAACTTAAGCAATCAATCAATCAATCAATCATAAATCATATATTCAAAAAATTATGATAAATATTTTGTAAAATTATATTTTATTACTAATTACTAAAATACTTCGGAGTAAAAAAAATAAACAGTAACTTTGCGACATTAAACCGGATGTGTGTAGCATTTTGATTTCTTGAATGCGTTGCTGGTGTAAACAAATGTTTAAATATTCCACTTTTCTACAATTCTAAATGCAAATGGCAAATGTAAAGAAGTAATGTGAAGATTCATTGAAGATAAACAAAGCTAAAAAAAAATTTTTTTCATTTTTTAAAGTTATGACAGTGACTATAATTTAATATAAATGGCTAAGCCAATAAGAATAGCCTAAGTAACTAAGTCACTAAGTAACTAAGTTAGTTAAGTAAGTACTGACTAAACTAAAGACTAAAACTAAGTAATAATATAAATAAATATAATATAATAAATTATAAATAATAAGTCTCAGTTTAAATTCACAAACCAAAGTGACCATGAAATAAAACATGCCTGAATCTTGTAAATTAATGTCTACATTAGTCGTAAGTAAGAAATAGTGGATTCTTCAGTATAAAGTTTCAAGTCATTATCAGTAATTATCATAAAGCTGTTACACTGTTAATAACTTATTTTAAGATTAAGAAAGATATTGCTTGGAGTCTTACAAATTACATGCAACATATCATAGACATAGGGCAGGGAATGATAGTGTCAATGCTGTGGCATTTACCATAAATTCATAAATTTAGAATTTTAAAACTTGTGGGGCTAACTTATTACTTTTCATATTATTGGATGAAATCCTTTGCCTTTGAGCCCTTTGTGTCTATGAATAAGCCAGAGGGAGAAGTACAGGCTTAACTTCGTTTAAGTTTAATGTTTATTACTATACTATTACTATTAGTTTATATGAAAACTACCCCCCACCCCCCAAAATTAATCCATCAATTGCAATTTATCTCTTAAAATCTACTCTTAATAGAAACTGAGAATAATGTATGTAAAAACAAAAGGTTACATTCAATATTTTTAGTTTTATTATGACCTTCCAATTAAACCCAAGACCACAACATCTTTACAATGTCTTTATTTTAATATACTCTAGAGGTTGGGACTTGGGATAAAATTTCTGCCTACGAAATAATTTTTAAAAGTTTGGACTAATGCAAGTGCATAAAATAAAGTTTGCCAACTCAGTAATAATTAAGTTACTTTAATTTAATTCACAGTAAAAATGAAAAGAAAATAATTTTTCATTTGTTAACTATATATAGTATATCATTATAATCCAACTAATTTGTTTTCCTTTCTTATTTTAAATTAGGTGCTAAGTATTGACTAAATGCAAGTAATGCAAAACAAAAGTATAAACATATAAACATTAGTCAAGTATGGCAAATGAAATTGGTAAGAGGGAGAAAGTATAGAAGAGGTTATAAGTTATAGAGTCTTGGTAGATGGTAGGGGTTAGCGGATGTAAGGGTAACAAAGAACTCTTAGAGAAGAAATGGGAAGGTAAGGAAATCATGTAGAGTCATTAGGTTTCATTTAGGAAGGAAATAATGGGGGGGGGGGGGTGAAATAGATTTTGGNTGTAGATGATGATTGGAAGATAGTAGAGGGGGGGGGGGGGCTACAGATGGATGGGGGTTAAAGAAGAATCAGACATTTTTTAAAAATGATTTTCAAATCTTTTTAAGCTGAGCATTACCAGAGAGAAATAAAATTAATGTTTATCAGTTAAGTGCTACAGCCAATAGATACTTGTAAATTGGAGAGGGTCAGGGTGAAAGAGTAAATTGTAGTTGCAATTGAATGAATAATATAAGGGGGTTGTGGGTAGGTGTGGGGATTAGGAGACAATAGGAGTAAAATTTTGGTGGAAATGGTGATCTTTGTGTTTCGATGAAGCGTTTATATAATATTATAAGTCAATTTTTAATCATTTAAAAAAATTCACAATACAATGCCACACAGTAAAGAAAATAATTTAAGAAACTTTAAAAGTCAATATTTGAGGATGGAGACATTTTGATGATGTGAAATGAGTTACATTGGTGTACAATTTGTAGCCCTTCATTCATTTAAAATTTAATAACACGGCATTATGCAATCACACAAAGCACAAACAGTCTTATTTTGTCTTTATATAAAATTAATGTAATGTCTTTGCGCATTAGCTTTTTCAGCTTCAGCTAATATCGGTATGCCATAATAATGACAAAAATTACTGGCGAAAATATTAAAGCTGAATCTTCAATCAATACTGAAAAATGGGATGGCGAGGAGTTGGCAAAAGTAAGTATTAGTGGTATTCAAATTTAATCTAGCGTTTTTTAATTTTTGTTTCAAAATTAACAAATATATGCAAACCATCAGAAATTCAATTTTTCAATGTTGCCTTTATTAAGTGAAAAAAAAATGGTTTGGGATAAAATATGCAAATTATACTGGTTTATGAAAAACATTAACTTATATTTCTCTTATAGATTTTGGTTTATATACTTATGAATTTAACTTATTTAAACAAAATTAATCTGCCAGTATAGAAATAAAATTTGTACATTAAACCTATGTTAAGGAGGATGGTTTAGATGTGGTTTCTTTTGAATAACTTGAGTTGAAATACTATTTAATACCCTATTCATACTTTCATATCAATGTTAAAATGGCTATGGTTCACATCTGATCCGTATTTCTTTCTAACTGACAGGTAAGAATTCGACTATTGAAAGGTCACACACATAGTGTAAATAATTGTCAGTTCATTCAAGACTCTCACACAATTTTTAGCTCATCATCTGATTGTAGTGTTAAATTGTGGAACTCAAAAACTGGAGAGTGTGTCAGAAGCTATGATGACTTACACAACTCCAACATTTCCCAAGCATGTTGCTTGTCTGATGGATCAAAGTATGGTTTATAAACTTACTTAATGTCCTTTATGATAAAATAAGTTATGTGAGAAATAGAGTAAAATAGAAATCTATAGACCAAAAATTTCTTAATGGGATTACTTTCTGTCAAAACAGTTTATAAAAAGCATTTTCTCTACTCCATGAGAAAAGTCATTATATTAATTGTAAACTTATAAATAAGTAAATAAGTTTATTGGTTTCCATCTTTCGTTGGAAAAATTTATGTTATTTTATTTGTAATTTTTTTGGTCTTATGCTTAAATTTTTGTGATTCAGATTCTTATCATGTGGATGGGACAAAAAGTTCAAGTACACTGATACAGAGACTGGACAATGCCTAGTAAAATAATTTTTAAACTTAATTAGATTTAATAACTGATAATCTTTATTAACCAACAAATATAAAATGAGTAAAACAAAGTAAGGTTAAACCTGAAAAAAGGCACGCAACAAAACACCGAACTTGTTGGCAGGAAGCCTTCATCAGCGAACAAAACAACAGAAAAAACAGTATAAAAATTTAAAATAGCACTTAGCCTAGAAGTAGTATCTGTGGGGAGCAAATGAATTGTGACAGAAAGTAAGTGAGTGAGAGATTAAATAAGGAAGAGGGAAAGAAAAGAGGAGAAGTAAGTCCCCTGCAGTCTCTCCCCTTATCACCCCTTAACCAACAAATGTTTCATAAGATTCAGCCTTCAAACTGATGGTCTATTCCCTTTCCTAAACAGTGACTAATTTTTCCTAAATTTTTTTCTATTAATAAATTAATTTCTACCATTTTTTTTTAAAAGTAACATCATGCAAAATAACTAGTCTTAATGGCCAATCAGCAATGAGAATACAGGAGAACAAAAATAAAAAATTGAACATTTTAATATAACCTGAGACAAGAAACTGAAGCAAACAAACAGTTTGATGTATGCTTTTCCTTAAAATATTTTCATATCTCAATACCCATTAAAAAAAAAACAAAGGAGTCAAGTAATGCCATTAAGACTTAGTAAATGACCCTGTGATTAGTAAGCCCTTTCTTTGTACCTTAAACTAATTTATGAAATTACTTAGAAAATTGTCATTTTTCAGATTGAGAAAAACCATGACGATTTCCTGACCTGCTGTCAGATTTCCCATGACAGAAAATTAATTGCTGTCGGATCAGACTTGGCTAAAAGTTTGAGGATTTATGATATTGAAAGTGGGGAATTGATTCATGAACTTAAAGGTGAGTTTCTTTTTTTTTTTTTTTTTTTGAGACATCAGGAATATGTAAGTTAGGTAATAAAAAGATATTTTTAATTATATTTTTGGAGGAAACCCTTTTTTAGAAAAAATTAAAAAATAACATTTATAATAAAAACTATGTATTCAGATTGAGAAAAACCATGACGATTTCCTGACCTGCTGTCAGATTTCCCATGACAGAAAATTAATTGCTGTCGGATCAGACTTGGCTAAAAGTTTGAGGTTTTATGATATTGAAAGTGGGGAATTGATTCATGAACTTAAAGGTGAGTTTCTTTTTTTTTTTTTTATTTGAGACATCAGGAATATGTAAGTTAGGTACTAAAAAGATATTTTTAATTATATTTTTGGGGGAAACCCTTTTTTAGAAAAAATGAAAAAATCACTATTATAATAAAAACTATGTCATTTAGGTATATTAAAAAAAAAGAAAGCAGTATTGTAAATAGTTGATAGAAAATAAAAGAATACTGTAACTAAAACAATTTTTTTTCTAAGAAAGATTTTCACAAGAGCAGTTTAACAAGCCTCAGATTTGCACCAGGGGATGACAAAGTCATGACCACATCCATGGACAGGACAGCAAAGTTTTTTGATTTGGTTTCTGGAATTAATACCATAACACTTGAGTATGAAACAAACACATTTTAAGTAAACATAAAGTGATATTCAAATGTTAAATGTACCTGAAATGATATATTAAAAGATGATAAAAGAAAAGCTTATAATATTGACACTTTTATTATTTTTTGTATTGTAATTGTCTAGTCAAAAACAAAATTATACTGAGTAAAAAATCATTTACATGATAAATAGACCAGACCATAATTTAATATATTGTTTTGATCATTTAGTAATCTATATTTTTAAGAGCTCGTGCTCGACGACCCACCAACGCTATCTCCAATGTGACATTATTAGTAACATATAACGCAGCTAGATAATAAATCATATATGAGAATTAATACTTTCAGAGGGCACACAAACATTGTATCCAGCTGTGCTATCACTTATGATGAGAGGAAGTTTGCCACAGGTTCATGGGATAAAACAATTCTCATATGGGATGTTGCCACTGGCATGTACAGGTAAAATATGTCAAAATGTGAACAGCATTATAAATCTTTCCATGGAGGTTTTGTTTTTCTTTATGCCTGTCAAATATGTACATATGAGCTTTGAACTTGTAATTTTCTTTTATTTTGGTACTGGTATTTTATAAACTGGCCTTGAGATGGTTTTAAATTATTATTTGAAAAAAGAAAATTGATGAAAATTTCTGTGGTAGAAATATTAAATTCAGGAAAACCAGATTGGGACACCTTATTTTTTGGTTTCCTTCAATCACTAGATCAAAAGGACCAACAGTTTTAAAGGGAAGTCATGAGGGGTCAGTTAGCTGCTGTCAGTTCAGCAATGATGGTGAGTTCATAATCATAAAACCAAATGAAATATGATATAGTTTAATTAAAAAATTGCACAGTTGTTTCACTCACTTACTTGAAATTTTAGCAAAAAAAAATATGTAACTGTATATATTTTAATAAACTTAGAGTATAATAATTCTATAAAGCACTTTCAATCCTTGCACTTGATTGATGTGTTATAAATTATATTTTTAATAATGGAAGTATAATTTTAATTCTATGTTTCAGGGGTCCAAAATTTCTATTCATAATATAATGTCATGAATTTTAGTAATTTAAAACATTAGTCTGTTCCACTATTTTTATCAGGTTTGTTACTGGTAACTGGGTCCTATGACATGAGTATTGTAGTATGGGATATAGAGAACAGTGCACAGAAGTTGAAATTACAGGTTGGCCCACTATATCTATGTACATCTGTTGTCATTTAGTTAATTTTGATTATTATTGTGATGATGTCATCTAGACCAGCGTTTCCCAAACTGTCAAATTTTTCGGACTGGTTGACAAGTTTTGAAATTCCACAACATGTTTCCAGATTCATTAATTATATTATTTTTTTTTTATTTCACCATAAATATTCATGGTCTGAACACAATGTAAGGCTTCTGAACTGGTGCCGATTGGGGGAACGCTGTCCTAGAGTGTACTTAAAAATCTATTATTTAAATAAAGAAATTTTAATTTTGTCATTGTCAAATTAAAAGCATAAAAGACAAAAAGAATCCTTTAATCAAAGGAAATTGTGTTTCAATGATTATGGCATTTTAAAATATAGATCTAAAATTTTTAAAAAATGGGCATCAGAAGAATATAAATGATAAGGCCTATTTAATAATTTTTCTGAAAATATAATCATCAGTTTAAATAAAATAATTTTAGACATCTAAATTGTATACATTATAACTGGGTAATGTCATGTTAAAAAATGGGTGGGGAGGTATTTTTATTTTGTTGTAAATATTATCCCAACATAAATAAATCATGACAAGAAAAAAGTTGTTGAGATTTTGATTGAAGGCTGTTGTCAAAAAAAAAAAATGATAATGCTTTTATTGTGCACAAAGAAAATAATTAATAATTTCCAAGCAAATATTGATTAACATTCTAGGGTCACATGGGTTGGGTGAATGATGTCTGCTTCAGTGCAGATCAAAAATGGCTGCTGTCATGCTCTAAGGTAAGTTGATGTTTAGTGCAGAGTAATAGGATTTTTGTTCTTCTTTTCTTTATTTCTTTTCCTTAAAATTTTACATTCGTTTTATAAGAGCGAAAATTGTAGGTACCGGTAGCTTATCAAATGTATATATCCCCTGCCTTGTGGTAAATTGTTTTGTGCCTGGATAATTACATCAAAGGAAACCTTTGACCAATTGATAATTAGACAGATATGGTTAAATAAATTTTGTTTAAATTTTTTATGTTATTTTTTATATAAAATGAATAAGAAACAAGAGTTAAAATATAAAAAATACAAATAGTAATATCTTGCTGTCACATCTGGATTGATGATACACAATACATAATGTGGAGTAGCCGCCTATTTCCAAAATACTCATAAATATCTTGACTTGCAGGACAAGACAATTCGACTTTGGAATCTGGAGGAGTCAGATCAAATACCAATGGTTCTGGAAAACAAAAAGGCTGTGGGTGTCAAAGTTGTAAAGGTAAGCAGTACAACAGGCTGGCCATGAATAAGGGGCTAGTCTCTAGCAATTGTATGACAAGATGAACGAGCTAGTGAATTGTTTGTATTTCCTTACACACAAGTTACAGCATATGCTAGGACTGCTTAGAGCATTACTGGTTTGAAAACCAAGTGAAGTTCAAAATATTTTTAACCACCAGATATGATTACAGTTATAGAATTGCAATGCTACTTATTACTCAGGTGGCTATTTGTCATATTATTCTTGAAAAGTTTTTAAGTTTCTTCTTAAGTCTGTAAACTCTGAATTTAAACCAGGAGCCAGAATGATCAACAAATTGATCGTGGGCCCCTCAAATATAAGAAGAAGTCCAAAACCATTTTTAAGAAATGAAAATTTAGTTTTTGACCATTTAGATATTCTTTATCACCACTCATTTGTTAAAATTTTGTTATAATTTTTGTGATTTTTGTTTCCCTCTAAGTGAAGTGTAGCACTAAGTAAATTTGTTGCAAATTTGAAAAAAACATATATTTGTCTCAAGAAGTAGAAGAGAAAAGAATGCAAATGGTATAATATTCTTCTTTTTTTTTACTCCCCAGTGTTCTAAATGTGCAAAGCCATTTTCATTATCTCAATTGGAGTCTTTTCAAGATATCACTGTCTGTGTTTTCTGTCGCCTGGCCAGTCCAGAAAAATCATGGCTTAGTTATAATGAAATGGTAGAAAACTCCTGAATTTAAATTGTGTGCAGTGGAAGGAAGATTTGCTTAATACAGTCATCACACTTTTTATAAATTTTTATATGAAATAAACAAATAATATTTGAATAATTTTTAGCAAGGTCTGCCATACATGCTTATTTTTCCATTTGCCTACATTAATGTCTTCAAATATGTTTTAAATCTCAAATTTAATTGCCATGAAAGGGTAAAAAAAATTATTATTTCAAAATGAACAAAGTGCATGTCAAGTTCAGTTGGTGCAGGTGATATCCATTAATTGATTGTAATCATGTATGCATTTTATGATTTATTTGCCTGACATCTTCACATCATCAACATAGATTTTTACTTGATCAAATCTAAAATTAAAATTTGAATGTCTAGTGGTATAGGCAGTTTCTAATTAAACAACCCCCAAAAACTAAGTTTTTCTTAAAAATCCTTTATATGCATTTTTATTATTTACTTTATATAAATATTCTAATTTCCCACCTGATTTTACATTGCAGATTTATTTCACCAACTATTTCAGAAAAATGAAAGAAAATAATATGCACCAAACGTGCTTCCAATATGCTTTTAAAATGGGGTTGGACTGAAAAATTGATAGAATGTTTTGTCATCGGCAACGAGTCTATATGACAAGTTTTAGTTCAACAGGTTCACAGGAAGTAGGTCAATTAGCTGTCCCAAATTTTTGCCAGCCATGAACAATAAGGAAGTTAATATAAAGGATTTAAATAGAAAAGTTTGTGTACATTTCTTAAAAATGGTAATTACCCTATGTTAGAAACTTAGCCAACTCACAGGCTTAACAACAATCTGAAATATACCTTAGTTGATGTATAATAATACTACTATACCATATAGTTAGTCGTAGTATTATACATCAACTTAGGTAATTTGGAGGTAGATATGCATTTTTAAAACTGCATTGCATCTTTTCAGTCTAAGTACTTTGAAAATGGTCCAATTTTCTACAGGATGGACTGCTTAAAAAGTAGGAGCAGTAGTTTATTACCACTAGGGGGCATTTCTACATCTTCCCCCCCCCTCACTTTTTCTTTCTCCACATGTAGCTCCCCCCCCCCATCCAGAATAATAGTAATGATTATGCAGAGCAAAGTCATTAGATTTAAACTTCTAATCAAGTACGATAATATTATTCATATGATTAGTCTGCCAGACCTGACAGTAAAACTTAAGAGCCCAAACTCGCATCTTTAACATTTGTTTATAAATAACAACCAAATGTTTAGAGAGCAGTCTCCCTCACTAACTTCTCGGTGGTTTAAGATTATAGTTAAATAGTGCAAATATATCAGCCATAGAGGACACTAGCAATTTAAACATACTGGAATCCATGCAGGGGGGCCTAAAGCAATATATTTAAAAAATTCTAGCTTGCGGACATTCCATGATCCTTTATACCCACTTACTTTGTCCTCAGTTACTGAATCCCCCTTTCCCACATCTTTATTAAGGACCCGGAGGTAAACAAATGTTGACCTAAAAATTAATTATTGAAATTATATATTTTAAAAATTGATGTGTCGGAAAGTTTAGACCAAAGGTGGCCAACCCAAAAGGCTTCTGGGGGCCACTTTGATAAGTCCATTTGCAGGCTGCATTTTATTACTCCTTATATTTGAAATAGCCACCCACTAATTGCTGTTTAGAAATGTTTATCTATTCTTGATGATTATAATGAAATGCTATATAACAAATCAGAATTAAACCAATGTGATGTCATTTTATCTTTTCTCTCAGTTATCTTTTTAAAATAGTTTTCTTTGTCCGTCGAATGAATAACAAATACATTTATTTGTGATAAATCGGACTTCAGCAGGCTGTATTGTTTGCCACTCCTGCTTTAGACTGTTGCACTTGTACTACTTGTAGATGCAACTATGCAACCAGCCATTTCTAAAACAGTCATCTTATGTGTAGAATTTTGACTAGTCCACAAAAGGTTAATAAGAGTTGTTGACTGGTTGGAAGCTCTTGATTTAAAGATTTGGAGTTTTGTTATAGTTATAACATTATCAATTGCTTCAGGCTTATGGGACCTTGACACCACATAGTATGAATGTCATGTTCTCAATCACTTTTTAAACCTTTTCTCTGCCCCCTCCTCGTTATGACCAATGGCAGTAGACTTACTTTTCCTCTCTTCCGTCCCTTTTTGCCTGTATTAACTCACACCTACTTATGGTCTATCACATTCCCTTTGCCGTCCTCTTGAAAACGACATTGCAGCTAAGTGTTCATTTTATATTGTTTTTGTTCGCTGAAGAAGGCTTCTTGCCAACACTGTTTCGTTGCATCTTTTTTTCACATTTTACCATACTTTGTTTCACTGCTTTCCTTTAACAAAAACAACCCAAAGCATTTCAACATAAATATGAAATTGTTTTATTCACTATGCTTCTGCTTGTTACACTTATAGGATGTATGAATAAGAAATTTGGCTAACAAAGCATTGAAACGTAACAGATGCAGAATTGATGTAAGGATGCGGCTATTCGGACCCGTTGAGAGTTGGGTTTATTAAAAAATATGTAAAAATTATTGTAGGGTTTGTAAGAAAAATTTTGGTATCAAATGAAAGATAATTGAATGGACTATATGTTTGTAAACTTACTTCTTCAGTTTAACTAAAATAAAATACCACAAATGACATCCGAATAGAATTTAGTCAAAATGGAACTGGAAACGCATCGCCGCTATTCGGACCCGGGTCCCAACAATAAGTTTTATTTAAAATTTTTATCCCAACCTCTCACTTTGCGGACCTGGGCCCGAATAGCCACTTCGTTCATGTAACTGTCAGTGTGTCAACAGCAACCTACCACAAGTAGATATATGTTACGTCATGCATAGCTGAACAATGTTTATAGTATACTCGTTCTTTCACCGATGTCAAGTTAAGTGTCTGCGACCCCCACACTTTTAAGTACATATAATTTTTTATTATGCTATGTTAATTAACTTATACATTATGTATACAATGATATAAGATGACAACTATGGGAAAAAACAACAAGAATCAACCTGACAATAATATCTAGACCTCATAACCCCATATCATTACAAATAAGTAAGGCACTTTTAAGTAGGTAGCTATAGGATTTTGAATCTTCCTCTGTGTTAAAGGTTCTCTATTCTTCATTTAAACCCTTACTTCCCACCCATCCCCAAATAAATTCAATGTTTAGTTTAACCCAGTGGTTGGCAATTGCGGCTCGTGAGCTGAATGCGGCTCAGCTACAAATCTGTTTTGACTCCAAAAAACATGGTTCTTGTCTCTCGTCCTGGTGATTTTTGGCTCTTTTGACTGGTTTAACACAGTAAATAAAATAATATTTGCACTTTATTCTGTAAGCCAATGAGGGCTAGTCATTGATGTTATGGGGGCCCTAGGTTAAAAATACCTGCAGGAAATATAGAAATAATCTAACATTCTAAGACAATAAGTTACAGAACAGACAAGCGTGTAATAACATTGAGTCTTAAGACAGTTTTGAAGTGGCTAAATTTTAAAACAAATATATAGTTTTACCACAATGACTGAACATAATTTTGAAGAAAATGACAGAAAGTATGTTCATGATTGTACAACTCTTAGCATGGCAAAAAAAAAAAAATGTATGTGGGGTCATTTGATGTGTCTGTGGATTGTTTTGTCCATATAAATGATAACCATGAAATATGAAAGACATGAAAATTAAATATTGTACAAATGACATAAGCATGAGACTGAAAAAGTATATGCAACAAAATATATGTAAGATAAGTACAAACGATCCCTTTGTAATTAAGTAAAAACTAATTAATGGTTAAGGCCACAACAGCATAATCCATCAGTGAGATATATCACTGAATCTTTAACTTTAAGGCAACTTATCAAGTGATATAAATATTGGCTACATTAATTATACACACCCAATTTACAGCATCACAAAACTCATGCAGTACAAAAGTTTTAACATTTAACAAATCACATATTTACATCTACTCAGGTACAAATAAAGAGTGGTTTCAGTCAGTTCTGTGGTTTACAAATCTTCAGTTTCCCAAAATAATTTATGAATTAAACACCCGACTACTTTAATTCATATAAAAATATAATAGAATAGAGATAAAAATCGAGGGTTATTACATAAATTTAAAATGTATTGTTATGATACATCCATACTATTTATTTTGTTATATTGGAAAATAAGAGCTTTTTTTTTATATTAAAAAAATGTATTTTGAAAAAAAAAAGCACAATTTTTAGATCACGTTAATAATCTCTCCCTAGATCAAGTACATATCTGATAAATTGATATTTAATTGACCCATTTAGATGCACCTGAGAAATAAAAAAAAGGCTTGAACGAGGCACAAATTTCAATGATAAGAGGATGTGGCCTGAGGTTGTTGTTTCATTGGTTTCAGGGCATCTGCATTCCAGGTCCTCAAGTTGGCCAATGTGCGGTTGATCTTGTTACACCAAACAATACGTTCTTCTTTGCTGTCTGCCGACATCTGGTGCCTTAAATTAAAGCATAACTCAGATTAAATAATAATTAAACTTTAAATTTAAACAAAATGTTATCTTCATTTGGCTGTAACTAAATTTAGTCTTTGTAACAGTATGCAATTAACCCCATTCAGCGACTGGAAAAGCTTTTTTCTTCCACACAGCGTATGTCACAGCAGTAGCATTGGAACCCTTATTTTATAAGCACTATAAAACTTTTTTGAAAAGCAAAGCAGAAATTGCTAGGAAAATTGAATTCAGTATTGGAATATCTGAGTACTGCTTGAAAATGGTGAAAAAGTAGAGCTCACAATACATATTTCATACACCATATTATAATCAAAGACAATGAGCAATAAAAAATGTCTACCTCGAAATAATTAATTTAGATCATAATTTATTTTACCTAACAGTGGTTGTTGAGTTGTATGTTTTAGTCACTAGAGTGTCATGTTCTCCCTTCAATGGCTGTCTGACGGTGACCATCTCAAATGTGTTTGGTCTAGCACAAATATCTCTTGGAACAAGACCTACTTTCTCTGTGATACAGCGTTTCAAATCGATGAAGGTCATTGGATCCTAACAGACAGGAAAGTTTATTAAATGGATACATTTTATGAGCACCAAGCATACAAATGAATATTATAGTTATAGAGTTAAATTTTTAAAATTAATTTTTTTATGCAAGATTTTTTTTTATACCTTTCTTGTTTCATCATCTGGATATTTCCATACACATAATTTGTTACCAGACAGGACACACCACCGTCTATGCCAAGCACCAAAGCCACTCACATCATCAAACATAGTCTGTCAAATAGATTTTGTTTATGTTTTTATTACAATAAATGTTTTTGTAATGGAGTAAAAAAATTGGTTTGCATGTGACGATGGTTTGCTTTAAAAAATTATACTCGGAAAGATATGCTTTAAATTAAAATATCTTTTACTTTTCCCCTGACAGCTCCTGTAAAAAAGGATAAAAAAAAAAAGCTAACTTTATATTGGTTCCTCAGAACATGCTAAGTTTTCATTTCTTTCTTTTTCTCTTACCCCTTATTATGTTAAGGTTTCATACTTTTTATTTTTGTATTTAACTCAAATTTTAAGTGAAAAACTTGCTCAAGTTACACACATTCCTCATGATGAGATACTTCTATTTTTCATGACATAAAATAGTTCTACCCAGAGTTAAAAATATTCAATTTTTGCAATAAAATATAACGGTTTTATAGGCTATGATCGTGAAGAGATAAAAATTCAAATTACAGATATTTTGTTTTACGTGCAGTTTAAGCTTAAATACAAGACCTGGTTAACCTGGAACTCCCAAAATAATACAATATAGTTTCATAATAATTTACCATCACAAAATCGTACAATACCATTTCACAATAGTAAGGAAATAACCACATTATATATATAATGACTATTGGCATCATATGTCTAAAAAAAATGTCACTTACCAAAGTCTTTGTCATTTAATAGACTAACTTGGGGTGGGGAAGTGGAAATCAAAGACACCCGCCAAAGTCACCAGATAAACTGGTTACTCTTATGATTTTGGCATACAATAGTGACAATCAATGTATGATTTCATGATGTTTTTTATCATTGTACAACAAGACCTGTCAGAGCTACAATTTTAAGAGACTGGGTTTCTAAATATTTTTAAAGGCTATATTTTAAGAACACCACTTTTCAGAAAGGTTTACATAAGTTCTAGAATTAAAGAGTAAGTTAAACCTGTAATATTAACTTACCAAAAAGCCTCTTTCTTCAACATTAACCTCCATCAAACATTTAAGCCTCATAAAAATTTGTCCATACAAAGGTGACGAATGAAGTAACTGAAATAGGAAATGTTTATTTTTTTAAATATCAGCCATGAAAAAAAAATGACACCATTTTTTTATATTTTTTTTAAACATTTTATTGGATATTTAGACTTTTCCCACAAATATTTAGAATTAGCATAGCATTATGTTCACAAAACAATTTTTAACAACTCAATAATTCATTGAACATATTGTGTGAGGACATGAATTAAAAATATCTATGGCAAAAATCTAATGTCGCTGTCAAAAGAGGGTGTTTCAAGCATAACTGAATTGTGTGATTTGTATTTAAGGTCTTAGAAATTTAATAGAAACCAATCCTTTCTATGAAAATGACCAAAAAAACAAAAAACTTAAATTTTAACTTTTAAGATGCTTTCAGTCACCTTGAACTTGCATCGGGCAATTAGTACAAAACCGATTTTGTGAGAAGGAATATTTTAGAACGGAAGTTAGATGGAATTAAAATAATGTAAAAATAAAAAAACTTTATTACAAAGTTCATAATTTCCACACTTCTCACTGGCATCTTGCCTTAAAAATGCTTTTAAAAATCTTCGTTTTCATTTTGAACATAATTCCTTTTGAACAAACTTCAGATCGAATTAACTTCTGTTAGAACATTCCTTCCTACACATTGATTTCATTGAAATTCAATGTAACCCTTTTAACTGTGCAAAAAATTTAATTTCCAGACCATTGGAATACCGGTAGTGCTCTCAACGAACATCAAGCAAATGGGTGCCATGTCAAGCACCTTCAGCATTTGCTTCTGAAGTTTAAAAGAACCTTGTCTATGTTGCCTTTAAATTCTTACCCTGTCAAGGTGAAAGGAATTTTTATCCAAAGACTTCATTGTTAATTGCAGGGAGGTAACATGGGTGAAACTTGTAGTCCTGACAGCTGTGGGTCCACCAGGACTTTCTACTGTTAAATTGAACAAGGAAATTACATTTTAGAACAAAAATGATCCTTCTGTTTCCTCTATTTCAAGTAAGGGGGAGCTCAGCAAGCAGATTATTTTCTTTTATTTTAAAATGAAATAAATAATTCATTTTACTTAAATATATCAAAATTAACTATAGCATAAAAGGAGAAAGCTTTAAAAAAAAACTTACAAGCCATTGCATAGCCTTTTCCTTTCTTTGGTGTCTTTTTCTTTTTGTCTTTGGAATATTCCTTAGAAACACTCTGAAAGTCAAAAACATTGTTTGTTTGATTATTTATCTTTAAGTAAAAAAAGTTTAATTCTCATCATGGGTAATCAAAAAGGCAGGTTTAAACCTTGGGTAATGGATTAAAAAAAAGTGAACAATCATTTTAAAAAAATATAAAAAAAACTAGACACATTCTATATGTGGACTGTTTTTTTTAAAAAAAAACAAACAAATTAAATTGCTATGAAGCATAAAAATACTGAAATAATTAAAATATATTTATAATGCCAGGATTATTCTATAAATACAATGAATTCAAAGAGATAATTTAAATTAAAATGATGGCCGTCAGTCTGCCTAGCACACCGACAAAGATTTGCGTACCCTAGCAAATGCTCTTCAAGTGATACGCAAAGTTTCCTGTCAGAAAATACTTTCCATTGATTCATTTCTGTGGTCTTACCATGCTATAAATGTCTAGCACAAGCTTGAAGTTTCCAGTTATGCCGTTAATCTTAATTAGATTAGGAAAGTCCAGACTGCCTCTCATCATTGGATCATGGGTTGAAAGCATTTGGGTACAGATAAGTTGAGGGCCATTCTTGAACAACAAGATGAAGTAGTGTGTTGTAGTGTCTGGGGAAAACAAATCCTGACAAAAGATGGCCTTATGTAACTAAAAGCAATACCTACTTAAAGAAAAATAAAATCTGAATACCAAAGTATAGCTAATATAGCACCATACTTTCAAACCACAAGAGTTGTAGTTATTAGTGGTCTAAAGAAAATCTTTATCATGAGCAAAAATAGGAGCTATGCCATGTCAGCAAAATAAATACCATGTGACGTTCCAATTTTAGTGACAAAGTCTTTCTTCAGAGGCAGTCTGATATCACTAATTGTTAAAGAGCCTTGGGGACCTGGTCCTTCAGGTGAAAGTACACCAGTTTCCTTTAGGCGCTGAATTTCTGTCATGTAACATTGTCGTTTTTGACCTGGAAAGGAAAAAAATAGAAGAAAAGAAATCAATGAAAATAAACAATTGAGCCATCTTAAATCTGACAACCCAAAACTTTTTATACACATTCCGAGCTAACTTATAACTGTCATAAGGGCCGATAATCAGGGATTGTTTTGTAATTAAACAGGTGTGAAATTTCCTCAAATTATTTGACTGCCATTATGACTATTGCTGGAGAGGGTCCTCCTCTAGATTGCTAAATCAACACAGATGTCTTTTTCGGAATTATTTGAAATGAATTAAAAGGAAAGCAATGATTTCAGAGAGAGATAGTTATGACAGTATTAGCTCTAGCCATGAATATGACATAAGAGTCAGATATTGAAAATATTAGCACTAAGCTTAGTCGTATTGTTACAGACAAATTCGTTTGGGAAAGGGTGGAAATTGAACAAAACAGACAATGATAGGATCCCAAAAACCTACCCTAGAGAGTTAAGCCTCTATTTATGTTTGTGTATGTCAAGTATTAATTTTAAAAAATGGATGTAATAAACTTCAATTGAAAAGGATTTTTTTTAACTCACTTTTTACTTCCCCACATGTATTTTGTATGACAGAAATTTAAAGGTGGTGAATGAAACAAATTTTACTAAATACACAATAGTCAATAGAACTACCTACAGCTTGACATTTTCTGAAAGAATATTGCTAGTACTTCAAGAACTTGATTTTACGATAGCTTGAACAATTCATGGAGTATTGGGGTTGAATACAAAAGTTTAGTGGTAATATTTTATTTTTACTCTGTAAAGGTCAAGATCAAGAGACATGCTATAAAAACTAATTCTTTTCATACCATAAGATACATTGTCCAATGTAGTTTCAGAAAATGTATTCTTGTAATTGTCTCCTTTAGTATGGGATTTGCCATTTTTGCAATGTATAAAAATGCTTTTAATGGCTTGACACTACAGAAAAATGCACTTGACAGTTATAGGGTTGAGCAACTGTCGAGAAATTAGCTGAGCCAGATTTTTCTTGTTTTTTTAATATCCAGTTAAAAAACTGTCATGAAAAGAAAGTATCTACAACTATAACTCACAGGCAATAAGCAAAAGTTTGTTGCATTCAACTTGTTCAGCAGATCCAGCAAAGTAAGAGTTACCCATACAACATTTGTTCAAAGCATTGCTTGTCTGCATTATAACATTCTGTTCTTGTTGAACTAGTTCTTGCAGCTCCTGAGAACCATACATTATTTTTGTGAGGTTAGATCAATGTTACAGCTCTTGTCAAGTGGAATAAAAACATTTTATAAAAGGAAACACTACACAAATTCACACATAATAATCATTAAAGCTGAATATAGATACAAATGAAACAAATCTATTAACTTTAAAGGGCCATCTTTTTAGAAATATTGGTTACCCTGATCCGGTCTTGCACAGCACGTCTATCATCCCTGTGAGGTTCTTGAGCTGTGGGCATAACAATATTCTCCTCTTCCACATATTTCCCAGCATATTTGCTAGTTCGAACTATGGGCTCTATCACATGTTGATGGACATTACTTGAAATTGAACAAAATAATATAAAATATGATTTTTTAATAAGTTTAGTAAAATATTCGAATAAGAGGAAAGAAAACTGCAAGGAATCTGAAAATTTACTGGTTCTGTAATTCTCGCAAATTTAGTGTATTTCCAAAACTATTAAACTAAATAGTTTAACTTAATTTATGTGGCCTATGAATGCAAATTTTTTTTACATGTTGGTCTTAGCCAGTATTTCAAAAATGTGGCTTTTAAATGTTAGTTTTATCAAGTCCCGCTTCAAGGGTCCTTGCCTGATAGGACCATATTTTGTATAATTACTTCTTAGGGCCACAAAGAGCTTTGCTACTGTTTTCGACTCACAATGTTAATACCATCCGCCAAATTTTGACTTAAGAAACTTCAAAGTCGCCCATAAGAAACTTCATATATTGGGATTTAAAATATAAATCCAACTAATGGCCAACGAGTTAACAAAAGCTGTAAATTCATGGTTTGGACATAATACATGAAAATCAAATAGTTTAAAAACTTTCAAAAAATGTGTTCTTTATTTTATATTTATATACTTGTTCCCATAAGGCCATAAGTTAAACTCTCATAGATATTATACATTGTCTTATTGTGACTCATTTCGAGCTTTGTCATACTGTGTTTCTTTTTTTATATTTCATAATTCTGACAGCAGTGTGAAACTTGTTCTTAATTAAATTATTAAAACATACGCGCTTTTTCTGTAGGCTTGTAGACTGTAAGGCCTATCATCGTCATCATCATCAGTAGACTCAGATCTCATAAGATTTCGTTTAGCCTATTAAGAAAATAAATTAGAAAATTGACAAGGAAAGTTTAACAATAATCAGAAATCCATGCAGTTAAAAAATTGTAAAAATTTTAATTAAAAAAAAAAAATGGATTGATCTAACCAAATTGGATTTATTTCATTTAAAAAATATTTTTTTTGTTAATTTTAAATTTATTTTTTTCCCTTCTTTTTTTAAAGTTTCTTTTTTCATTTTGAAGTATATGAATGTGTATAAAGATAAAACATAATATAGCTAATATTTTAAAAATATTTTTTAGATTAAAGTTGCATCTTTTTAAATTTAAATGGCTTAAAAAAAACAAATTCTTAAAATTGATTTTGTCCTTTTTAAAAGTTTGCTTCCGATTTTGTAGTATTTTAGTGTTTCTACAGATTAAAAATAATTTAGATAATAATATTTAAATTAATATTTAAAATTAATTTTGGATTTTCAACATTCAAGTTTTAAATGTTTAACTGCATTTAAAAAATAAAGATTTTACAAAAAAAATAAATTGACTTTATCTTCTATTTTTAAAGGATTTATTGACGCATTATTCTGTTTCACTAAATAGTATAGTGCAATCAAAAAGAAATTTGACGAAAATTTTAACGTGTGAACTGGAAAAAAATTTGACGAAATTTTCTTTTGATCAATTTTTCGGTAACCGTAATATTGTCATTCGTCAATATCATGTGATTCCACCAATGCCTATTAAATAGAAAACCCATTTAGCAGCTTTCTCAACCAAGTTTTAAATTTCTAAATTTAAAGTTTATTGAATAAAAAAACGAAAATATAATATTATGCTAACACAAGTATTCATTAAGAAATAATATTTATTATTTGACTATATTAAAGCAAATGCCTTAAAAGTAAATAGATTAGATAAATAGATCCAATAATAATTAAAATAAATTTTAAACATTTAAAACGATGTAGTATTTAATTCTAGTATCACATTCCCTTTTGTATGAACATCTTGTACAATAAATGTTACAAAAACGGGTTCTTACCGGTACTGGGTTTGTGTTCTTTCTTCTCATTTGCACATTGTTTGGATCCATATCAGGGTCATAGGAATAATTAGTTTGCTGCTTCCTCAATACAACATTATGTGGATCCATATCAGGATCATAGTCATCCGACGTATCACTCATAACTTCATCCAGTAGATCATCCACAGCCCGACGATTTGAATTTTCCTCATCATATTCATCCATGCTTTCATCATCTGGTTGATATCCTCCCCGTTTAGAGGGACCACTGCAGCTGGCTTCACTGTCTCCGGTGCCATGATCATCCTCGTAACTGTCCAGACTTGACTGGCTGGCCCTTTGAACTGGTGGTGGTAGGATACTCTCCCTTCTTACGGCTTCAGACACAAATCCCTTTAAGCTGATATCATCATCATCAATTTCAATAGACAGCCTGTAGATTTAAATAATAGAAAATTATGATTTTTAAAATAAAATAATCATTACTGAATTAATGCTAAGCTAGGTAAAATAAAAAAATATTTTTAAAAAAAATATATATATATATTGCCAGCTGAAAAAAGGGGTAAAACATTTCCTCATAAACCGTTGCCCATAAGAATTTATTTTAAAATAATTTTGTTTTAAGTTTTGTAAAGCAATTTAAAAATATATAAACTTCATTTTTTCACGAAAAAGGTAAATAATTTGCTTTTACAGTACAAAATAACATAAAAAAGGACATTACCCATCACTCGAGGCAAATTCTTCATCACCAACATCAGAGCTGCTGGCATGATCGGAATCCTTTTCGGCTCTGAGCTTTGGGACCTCTGGCTTTTTGAATTCTTCTTTCTCCTCTGAGGACTGTGTGGCTAATCTTTTAGCTGCCGAACGAGGAATTTTTCTTTCAGCTTCATCTTCACTGTCATCAAAGCTGTCATTAAATTTAACCTAAAAATAAAAAGTAAATCACATGGTTTGAAATCATAAATAATATATTAAAATAATCATTTTAAAAGATTGTTGTAGTTTCACTATAATGGTTGTTTTGACAAAACCAGCTATTGCTAACGTCGTCATGATTTTTCCAAATTATAAAACAAATAATAAAATTCTGTTTTGCGTTCCATCCTAAAGGACATCCACAAAATTAAAGAATTTAAAAAAACCCTCTATACTACAAAATGTAACAACTGAAACCTTTATATACCTAATATGTGTGACAATATTATATTTAGAAAATAGCAGTTTGTGTATGAAATGTGATCCACTCTAACTCATCAAAACCAAATGGCCTGCAATGGTCTTTAAAGTGAAGTTCCTTAAAATAACTACAGTACATGGAAAAGTCTTTGAAGTACAGGTCCTTAAAATAACTACAGGGACCATGTGGGAAAACACAATTTTTCTTCTTCTGAACAGCAATTATTTTTTAATCCAGCTTTGAAAGAATTTAATTGATTTAGATTAATTTTAAGTACCTTTTTGTCATCAGACGGTTGAATGTTTTCTTCCCTCTTTTTAATCAAATTGTAAATGCTGCTTGTTTGGCTTCCTCTACCGGAGTTTGATTTCACTACAGATCCATTTGGTGCTATTGGTGGTGCCTGAGGTATCTGAGCTGAAGGTATGCTAGCAGTGCTCTCTTCATCACTGGTGAGACCAATCTCTGCTAGTTTGCTGTTAAATTCTGAGTAATTATAAAAAGAACCATAACTTTCATTACAAAATGAATACAATAACTCATTTTTTACATAAAGTAAAAAGAAAAATTTGAACAAAATTAATAATAATATAAAACTTTATGCACTTTAATTGATGAGTGCACGTTACTGTATAAATTATATTAATAACACCATTTCAGTCGTTAAAAGTGGCCTACCAACAAAAATTGTATTGATAATGCTAATTGAGAGCCAATCTCTGTGGCAACATTTGAATAGTATAATGCACAATTCTGATTCTTAAAAGAAAGTCAAGGTAATTATAACAATTTTAGACAACTTAGATATGATGGTCCTGTTTGTTAAGAGAACATTTTGTATAAAATAACAGCTAAAGGTAAGAACAAAAATCAACCTGATGCAGTAAAATTTTATTCAATTGATGTGAAACAAGTTTCATACCAGCTCTAGCCTTATTGCGAGCTTCTTCCCGTTTGCTGCTCATTGGAGTCTTCATTTCAGGTAATTGTTTTTCCGGAGTTTTGCTCTGCAATGTAGGTAGGGCAGATGGTACCTAAAATATAAGAACAATAGACTGCATCAGCAAGGTAATTTAATTTCAGTGATCAACCAAGACAATTTTTAAAATTTAAGTGTGTCTTGAGAAGAGAACTGATCCAAAAATCTAGTTTTTAAAATGTATTTAAAATTTAAGGCATGAAATAAAAGCTAGAAAAAGATTATTTAACTCTCATTTCTTTTACACTTGTTGGAAAGCATCAAAGATTTTACAGAGCAAATAAACTTTACAACACACAAAAATGGACAAAATATATTCCAACATATTTTTTTTTTTTTTTTTTTTTTTAAAAAACTCTACCTTTCAGTGGTCACTTTTTTCAAAATGGATAAATAAAACACACCAAAGAGTTAGTTTTATTTACAACACACAAAAATGGACAAAATATATTCCAACATATTTTTTTTTTTTTTTTTTTTTTACAAAACTCTACCTTTCAGTGGTCACTATTGTCAAAATGGATACATAAAACACAGCAGAGAGTTAGTTTTCTTAACCCTGATAATCCCAAACATTACATAAACAGCTGACACCGTTATACTGTTGATATTACTGTAGCACACTGTACAATTAAGAACAATATGTGCATAAGGTACAAATTTATTGCATTTTATTCTTTAAAGGAACATTTCTGTGTTATCTGGACATCCTGAATATAAATTAGTTTGGATAATTAAAGTGTAACTAGAAAAGAGAACATTAGACAGAAGCAATAATCTGAACAACTGTGACTGCAAATTCTATGCACATAAATCAAAGAAATTTTATAGACCATCAATGAAAATGTGAATGTTTAAAAGAATACAATTGTAAAAATGCGGCATCAAATTTTTAAAAAGCAGAATACATGAAAATAAAATATTTTAAATTGGTTACATAGTTACATTTTTTTTTCAAAGTAGGGTTGCCCAACTTTTTCAATAAATTGCACCTCCAGAAATTGCGAGACGCACCCCCTACAAAAGGGCGAGTGTATGCGAGACTTAAAAAGATGTATGAGAAGAGAAATGTACTGAATTCATTGAAGTGTGTATTTCAGTGTTACTAGATAATAAGAGATAGAAATACATTTTCTTAAAGAAAAGAGTGAGAGACCTGTGAAAGACATGTAACATGAAATTATGCTATCATTCTACAATCGGATTCACTTTTCATCGTAACCTGAAATTCTGCCATGCACCCCAATTAGGGAAACACTGCATTTAAGTATTTCATTGACACAAAACACATACATTTAGAAAATACTTTCTGAATAATTTGTTATAAAACATTTGTAGATGGAGACATTCTATAAAAACTCAACACAACCAAGTGTCTAAATTAGCTTTCATCTGCATCAGGGGTTCCCAGAGTGGGGAATGCTTGCTTAAATGCTTAATTAAAGCTGGAAGTTGGGTTAGATGGGAAATTGCCAATTAGGGTGCTGGTGAATTTCAGTAATAATTTACATAGAGATTTATCCATTTGAACATCTACAAGCCACTTATAAATTTGGCAGTGTATGATTATATGTAGCATATTTTTGTGACACTGCATTAAAGATATGTAAAGCCTAATTTTTTTATTGATTACAGGTTAATGCATTTTATTTGGAAGGTAAGGGGGGATTTGAGAGGAAAAAATAAATTGAAGCAGTTTGTGGCAAAAGCAAGAGCATTTGACATTAAAAGCATTGTCAAGTAATCAGACAGCTAAAAGCAGTTTACTGCACTACAAAAAAAAAAGCTACATAAGTCATTAAATTACTTTAGTTTGTTCATTGGATGATGATCCATAGTCCTCTCTCAAAACTCCATTCTTCCATCGGTTCTGGATGGCATCTAGCTCGGCCATTCTTTGCGCTCTTTCTTGTGCAGCAATAGCACTAGATGTGGTGGTACTATCTTGACAGCGTTCCGCTAACAGTTTCTGGACATTTTTTGTTCCCGCACTCACCTAGAATCACGTTTTAACAGTTACTGGCTTGCCTAACAACAATCATAATGCTCAGGACCCTTTCACAACCATGGCCTGCACATGAAACAAGTGATGTCAGCTCTCAGGCTTTGTAATATATAAAAATCTTTACAAGTGTTATAGTAATGACAATTTCACTCTCACATTCATTAAGTTAAACTTATGACACAACGAGAAAGCAGAGAAATTTAAAAGAAAGAACTACAGGAAGTAATTCAAGTATATCCTGTGAAGAAAATTGACATGGAGCAATTGTGGGGTGTTGTAGTTAAACATTTTTTCACAGATTATAACACATTTTATGAAGCAAAATAAGCTACCTTTGATGGAGAGTGTACTACTTTGCTTGGTGATCTAACAAGTGGTTTGATGGGAGACTGGCTGGTTGCAACAGCTTGTGCTCCATGAGAGTTGCTTGGCGGCTGTACTCCTTTCTGTAAAATTTTGTTGGCTTTCTCCTCAATGCATTCCCTGAAGCTCTTGGCAGGGGTTATACTTTTGACTGCTTGTGGAGGCGGTGGAGGATTCTTAAAAGAGAAGCAATATATTTTTCTAATGTAAACCGCATACCAAAAACTTGACATTAACCAAAAGATAACCAATCTTAAGCAAGTTCAATTTAAAATGTTAAAAAATTATTTTTTTAAAAATAAATAAAAAAATAATACCACAGGAATTTCTGTTGGTGCTCCAGCTGGTTTTGGGGTAAACGCAGAAACAGGTCTTGTTTTGTTTGCCACAGGCGTTACATCTCCAGGATTCACTTTCTTTATGTTACTAACATTATTAGCAGCTGTCATAACTTCCCAGGCTGACATGCGAGCACCAACAGGAAAAGCAGTTGGTTCATCATTTTTACGCTGTAACGCAGGGGTGTTTGATAATTTTTCTTGCATTTGTGACATGCGCTGTGCAACTGGCAATTCAGATGGATCGCAAACTTTTTTCTGGGTTGAAGAAGCTGGAGTTGAGGCTGACAAGGCAGGTGTACAGACCTAAATATGAAATAAAAATAACCTCTGAAATGAAGGGTTTAATGTTTCTATACAGTTCAGCCCTAAAGTGATTTGTCAAAATGTAAGGTATATTTTAGTTGGCAAAGTTCAATCCATTTATGATATTTATGATTTTATTTTATCAATCAGCTAACACAGGGGTGGGCAACCAAAGGCCTGCAGGCCACAAGCAGTGTGTTGAAACACTTCAAAAGACATTACAAAAACCAGATCAAGTTTTCATAAAACATAACAAATCTGTTAAAGCCTTGAAAATCAATTTTCATTTAATATATAAAAAAATATTTTCAAAGTAATGAAATTTAATACTAACGTACTATCCCTATTAATTAGTTATCGGATGTTACCAGTGTGTCAGCACATAATTATTTTTAAATCTATTAAAAGTTATTTCAATGCAGCCTCTGCAGATAAAAGGTTACCAAGCCCTGAGCTTAATGGTGTAAAAGTAATATCCATCAATTTAATATGTATATTATTTTAACTTTTAAAAAAAACATTAAAAAGAATTTTTAAAAAAGGTTCAAATAATATTCAAAAGTATAATTTGATTATATAAAGAGTGAGTGTACAGGTTTCACATTCAAATAAGTATTCTTATTTTAGCTGAAGATTTAAGGGTGTTAATAGTTGATAAAAGAAGAGCATGCATTACAAATGACAGTGCATTAAAATGCACTAAATTAAATTCAATTACTGCATGAATAATAAATAGTGGTATCAAGGCCTTCTTCTTAAAGTATCATGGGGGCAAAATGAAATGGGAGACAAAAAGAAGGAAATGTGCAAAAGCAATGAACCTGTTTCTGTGTTTTTGGCACATGCACAGAATTTCTTTGTCCTCTCAATGGTGTGCTGTTTTGAGTAATTTTCTTTTCAAAGGTTGCAACTTTCGATGAAAGATTTGCTGGTTGGGCTTTATGAGTTTCTGTCTTCTGTGCCCAGGCTGTGAATCGCTGTGATATTGGTTTAAGTGTTGGCTCATCTGCCGTCTTGTTGAGTTCACCATCTGAAGGGGGAGTTTCTAGCAATCCAGGAGAATTGACAGGAAGACCTGAATTTGCAGCACTCCATTTGGTGGATTTTGTAGGCGTTACTGTGTTTACTGAAGCTGAAGCCAGATTTAAATCTGATGTTTTCACAGGAGATGATTGCTTAATGGCCGAAGAGGAATTGTATAGGTCAACAGGCGGCTTCACTGGAGATATCTTGTTATCTCTATAAGCTGGGGTGAATGGTTTTGGAGAACTATTCAAGGCAACCTTCATGGAACAGTCAAACAAACAAATCCAAATAATGAAACAAAATAAACACAAATTGGAAAGAAACTTTGAAGGAATAATTCCCACTGAAAACAAATCAAAATGAAGAAGAACATTGACACTTAAAAAAAAAAAAGTGTTGAATATGTTGTAAAATTCAAGGAAACAAGCTTTATTAAAGTTAAGAAATTTTGCATGCAGTGCAGATTGGTTATGATACATTTAAACTATAGTGTTAAATCCAATATACGTTTCTAAAGTACATTTTATTTTAAGGTACATCATTTTTCAGCACATTTATTTAATGAGTTGCAAATTAATTGGGATCTCTAGCAATGCCCCCCATTACATTTAAAATGTAATTTACACAGGACATGGATAATTAAATCATGTAAAGAGTTGATCTATTTGCTTGTGCTATACAAAGATTAATTTCCAAACAAATCTTACGAAAAGAAGAAAATGGCATGATACCATTATTAATTGCTTTAAGAAAATTTCACAACTATCCTGATAACAGACAATAAAACATAAGGTATACAAAATTTTTTAATACTCAATTATAACTAACTGCAAATCAAAACATGATTTGAAAGAAATCACATCCCACAATGTCCTGACCTTGGAGGTCCTCAAAGGTGAATTCCTGGTCAACGTAGAGGAGGGGCTGGCTTGAACATTATTTCTTGGTGTTGGTGGGGCATGTGTTTTCTTGGGAGAACAAACAGGGGCTTCTTGTTTTGCCACCTTAGCAGTAGTGGAAGAGACTATGACAGGGGCTGGAGGTGCGGGTCCTTTCCCTGAAGTGACAGAACTCATTGGTGTCGACTCAGGTTTTGGTGGCTGCCATCTCGGTCTTTTCTCTTCCTCTTTCCTATTGGATTTGAAAAAGCAAAAAAATTATAATATAAATTTTTGCTTTTAAATTTTGGAAATATTTCATGGGGAATAAGTTGAGTGGATGGGTTATGAGTGGGTCATAGGTGATTTTTATAACATTTTTCGAGGTACATTGATTCAACTATAGAAAACGATGACGAAAAAATAAATAGTCTTTTGCAAAATTGGGTCAGAAGTTTTGTCTTCATTTTGTAACTACCATGATTGATTGTGTTTAGATTTAGAGAGTATCAAAGTATCTACATTAATAATGTCATGTCATAAGCATATTATCAGAGCAGAAATTGAAATATATTTTTAGAGCGGTCAGAGCAATTCAATTTTTCCTAACAGCACCTTACCCAAAAACTTTTGAATTCACAATTATAGCAGAAAAGACACAGTATATGCCGCAATTTTTCCCCCTCAAAATAAGCCTAAAATGTGGGGTGTGTGTGTGTGTTCTTGTGCCCAGAAAATGTAGAAATGGGGTTGGCTTATGAGCGAGTTTTACACTTTTCAGGTTCTTCAGGTGATAAGGAAGGTTTCAAAAGTCTCTTAGAACAAGTATAGACTTTAAAAACTCATTTATTAGCACTTTTTTTTAGCACAGATTATTTAATTAGTAAAATATTTAAAATTTGATATGTCTCAACAGCTGATCCAAAAATCTAGTTTTTAAATCTATGTGTTGAATTAGAAAATAACTTGGAAATTTAGTTCCTATACAGGGGTTGACTGTCATAACATCTGTTATGTTAAGAGGATGTGATACAACCTTAACATCAAATTTTATAAAACCCAAATTGTTTAAAACTGTTTTATCAAGAATCCACTTTGATTTAATTAAATACGATCTTTAAATTAAGCTGTGTACCAGAATTTATATTTAAACACATTACTCATATGATACTGAATGACATTTAAGAAGAACAAGGATTAAAACTAATTACTTCAAAATAGATGTGCTTTTGATTAGTATTAACAGATAACACCCTTGACAAATAGAAATAAATATTTAAAAGCCAGATGCTCTTACTGTATAACATGGTGACTCAAATCATCCTCCCAGTCATTGATATGCTGAGCCAGGGCTGCAAACCGGCCTTTTCTAGAAAAACCAGAACTTGCTGAAGTACCAACTTGGCTAACTGGAGACTTCCTTGGTGAGGACTTATTTCTTCTTTCTAGGGGTGGAGAAGATATGCTTTTTCTTGGTTTTGGGGTTGGGAGATCAAGATTTTCTGGAAAGATAAAAACCGGGGTCCAGTAATCATTCGTGCAAACACAAATATTTAATATCAAATAAATAATCATTTACATAAAAAGCTAATGCAATTTTTTTCAAAACACTACTAAATGTATATATATTTATCTTTATCCATGTTTATAAATTACCATCATTTGAAGTAACATTGTTTAGAGAGCTGGACGGATCCTTGAGACCAGATTCAACTCCTTGATTAGAGGATATATCAGGCTTCAAATTCTGCTCAACTTCCCTCATACACTGGCGTTTGGGGGAATCTTAAAAAAAAAAAAAAGAGTGTATTAAATTATGTTTGGATGCATATGAAGTTTTATTTCTGTACATCACAAGTTCATGGCACAATAAATAAAACAGATGATAAATTCTCATACTCCACCATTTAGACATCTTCACTACAAAAGGGAGAGAGGTTATAAGCTAAACTGCAATGTTATGACACTCCTTTGAATTATTTGTTATTTTGAGTTTTCAAATAGCCTTAGTCTAAAAAAAGAATAACTGCACCTAAAATAGTAATTCCTCATAACATACAACTTATTATATAAATAACTATACATTCTTTTTTAGAGAATGAGTAAAACAAGCAAATATTAAATTTAAAAAAACATAAATTTGTCAAGTAACAAAATTTCCAACAGGCAAATAAATGAACTGCTAGATCAAAAATAATTTCTTATAATTATAACAGGTAAAAATTTGTGAAAACAAACAATGAATGATAGTGTGGTATTTAATTTTAGCAAATGATATTTTTTTTAAAAAAGTCTATTTCTATCTTAGACAAGCTGGATGACAGTAAATGTCTAGCCCTTGTTCAAAAACTGGTGATTAAGATTGGTATATCGTAACTGCAAAGTATGATTATTCATGGGTATCTATCCTGATTAACAACATGGATTGGTTCATTTTCTGTCCAATCTTAACCTTTTGTAATCCCCTTTTAATTTGCTAACACTATCTAATAAGTCTGGGTTGTGCAAACAGAGAAAGGTAATATTTTAAAATAATTTCTTTTACTTTAAGCTCCATTAGTATTTAATTACACTAAACTGAAGGGAGAAAAAAATACTTCAGTCGGAGAGCTGATGTTTCTTAATTATTTAAAACCAATGAAATTGCTACCTATATCAGGTTATATTAGAATTTTTTTTAAAATAATGCCAAAAACATGTTCCAGAGAAACAAACAATCATTTCATTTTTATTTTCTACTTGGGCTTTAACTTTAACCAAATGATTGATTATGAGTTGCATATACACACTTAGCCGTTATATATTGCTATCAATTACAAAATCCTGAGTTAATAGTTTCACCACCCCATCCTCGCAGTATATGTTTGTTTTTTTAAATAATGATTATGTATATAAGTAATAAGCCAAAGCTATTGTGTTGAAATTTATATACCATGATATGGTTCTTCAGTTAACCCTGAAATAAAAATAAGCAAAGTATTTAGAAAACTAGTGAATCTGTATAAGATGAGAAAATAACAAATATTAAACAGTGGTATAAGCACATCATTTCAGATAAATGACTGAGAACTGCGTCCTGGAAAGTAATATGTAGTCGCATTACATGAACATCATAAAATCCTGGCAATGATATTAAAAAATTTGAATTGCACATTCTTTTTCTTTCTAGATGTGCAACCAGTAATTTAAAGTGACAAATTCATAGGCATAATCTTGAACTACTATGACGTGTGTAGTGCTTTCTTTATAAGAAATGAACTTATTGGACAAGATTATATTTTTGGAAATATAAATCAACATGTATATGCTTGTGAGAGAACATAGATCTGTGGTGCAAAAACAATGAGGATGTGACGATATGAAGCATTTTATGAACAGCAATTTTTAAAAAACTCGGCAAAACTTAACTTCCAAGAAAATGGGAATGCTAATATCAATTTTGTGCAGGACCTGGTTATAGTATTGGGGCAGTTGGTTATCTGCATCGCCATGATCAACCTTTAGTAGTTATTTTATGTATTCCTAATTCATCAGAACTTGAGATAAAATAAGGTGATCATCAATCATTTCTTTCAAAAATTGAGTATCAGGAACAGAACCCTCTCAGGTGTCATTAAATTGTCCATTAAGATACAATATTAAAACAATTAATTAACAATAGCATAGCTTACCATCTTGATTTGATTGTAATTCAGTAAGGACCTTTTCGGTTCCATCACTTTCTAACACTGGCGTCCTACGTTTGCGAGGGGCTGCTTCTGGCATCCCAGCCATCCTCTGATTAAGCACCTCCCGTCTGCGCCTTGTTCTTTCAATCAAACTCTGTTGTAAACGCAAATATCACAAATAAATTTTCAAGTGGGGCGGCTCCTAAATTATTTGTTTAAACATTCAGGGACATATGGGGTAGACAAAGCTTATTACCACTAGCCTGGTGGGATTTGAGAAAACTTTTAAATAAGGACTAATTCATGTTTTCACATGTCTATAGCCCCATTAGCCTTGATATGCTTAAATAAATGTTAGATTTCAATGCCTAAATCCATAGATTGAATAATAATAAATAATGAACCACCGATATCTTGGCCTTTATTAGGCTAATTATATAAAAATATGGACCACATGAACAAATCATAATGCATATATAGCTAGGGACAATCCATAAATGAAACATTATTTTGGCAGATTTTGGAACAAGGCTGTTACACAATGGTCATAGATGCATTGACATCAATTCAATAATGCATGGTCGCTATGCCAACCAGCAGCCACCTTTTTGAAGAATTAGATATTTTCCTACCAAACTAACAGATTTAATTTATATATTAAAAGTGGTACCTCACTCAAAAAAGGTTACCAAACCCCTTGACTTAACGGGGTCTGTTAGTTCTTACATTGACATCAATTAAGATAATTTCTATCCCTGGATTAGGCTTAGGGATTTTAGATTGACTCTAAAGGGTTTCTTCTGTTCACCAGCTAACTGCCTCCTATGATTTACCTCATCATAAAATATTCTTTTAGGCAAGCAGTCATTGCATATGGGAATACATTAAAATGATATAGATGATGGGGAGTGTACTGCTAAGGTCAAGGTAAGAGAAGATGTTTACTACATTAAATCTTTCACTCTTTACTGGAATGTTGGGCTCAACAAAATGTGTTCCCTGAGTTGGCTGGTGCAAGACCTCTGTCTTTTTTTGTTTTAGAGAACAAATTAATGCTGAAATTTTAACTAATAGTAGTAATAGTTGTCATTCTTTAAAATCAGACAAAAGTTTTTCACATTAATTATTTATGCACTGTCCACTCTCAACTGACAATGATACAAATTTCACTTCAGCAGTGTAGAGTCTAAAACTTAATCATGTCCAGTACCATGTATTATTTATTTGGTAAATAATAATATTATGCCAAACAGGTTAGCCTCATAATTTATCAGTTATTAATTATTGATAAATAACACTAACAATGAACAACCATGACATGATTCATTGTTTGATTGTTGATGAGTCAGATATTCTGAGATATTTTAATATGCTGATTTTATTAACTGATTATCATAAACAGGGATAGTCATAGTAATCTGTATTAAACTATTAGTATTACTGTAACTGTATAATAATAATAGTAATAGTGTTAGACTTAGAAAGGCGGCATAGGCATACTATAGTCTATTAGTACTACTAAATTTACCCTAAGTTAATGTCCATTTAAGTTGAAGCGCATTACCCAACAATAATTTATTGCTTTGAATTAATAAGGATAGACTAGTAACTAGTAGTATTTTGAATATAGGCCTGGGTGAAATTGTTTATGACGTATTATGACTGGCATTTTCTGCTGGTCGGACTCAAACTCAGTCTCAGACGTCTACTCAACTTTTAATTTATTAGTATTAGTAGCTACTTAGGCCTCAAAACATCGGTTAGGCATATAAAATTAATTTCTTCATGTTTAAAATAATAAAAGCTATCACTCACTTGCATATCTGGATCCATGTTTTTCGAATTTACCGGGTTTTAAGACTAAATAGCTTAATATTATTCATCAGATAAAATCCTAAGAGCTTCAAATATCAAGCGAGACTTCCGCATTCGAAATACAAACTTTCAAAATTGGCGGTTGAAATCTCGCGTAATCTCGCGAGAGTTCACCTGACATGTAGTTATTTATCTTTGTACCAGTTTTGGGTGGCTGAAGATTAATTTTATTATTTTAAAATTTAAAAAATACAAGAAGATAAAGCAGTCTATTTACGACAATTTGAATTGTACTTTAACTACAATTATTTAATACAAAAGAAATGTATCTACAGTATAATTAAATGCGAGGACACATTCGGAAATACTGAAATACGATTTTAATTACAGTGCTTTGCAAGCAATGGCAAGTCATAGAAGGGCTTTATGAGGTCCGGGGTGTACTTTGAAAATGCCCCCACCCCGAACAGTTCATATAAATATTTATAGCGCTTTTTTATACAGTGAAACTTAGATATAGCGAACCTTGAAATGGTGCTGCTCTTAGCATGTGCGCTAATTTGCCTGGCATAAAATCATGGGCGCCCGCGGAAAACTTTCTGGGGGGGGGGGTAAAAAATCGATTAACTTTCCAGGGGGGGGGGGCAAAAATTGTTTAGTAATGTTTTAATGTAGTTTTAATTTACTGTAGCGTATTTGAATGGTGAACGAACGGACAGGACATCAGCTTAGTTACTTTCTCTTTATTTTCTCTTTACTTTAATACATTTTTTGTCTATTTTTGTCTAAAAAAAATTTATCCAATCAATCCAGGGGGAGGGCAAGTGCCCCCCGTGCCCCTCCTTCGGGCGCCCATGCATAAAATCATTTCTTACCATCACATGTAAATACCACAACTTATGCGTCGTGCTCACGGGTTTGAGTTATTTCCAGGTTTCAATGTAAATCGAAAATTGTCGGTACGTCACATTGATCGACGGGAGGGGGAAAGGAGACGGAAATAATGATATCCCAAGCCCCCCAAAAAGGGGTAGGTGGGGACAGAGGTGATTGAACTGTACTTATAATTATATGCATAATATTACAATGGCTGTCTTTCCCGGGTCAATGCGGCCTGCATTGAGCTTGTTCTTTCGTGTCACCCCACGTCATCAAAAGAGAATCTAGTCTATCATAGCAGTGAGTAATAACTATAACTGAGAATAAAATTAAATTATGCAGAGTGTATTTTAATCCCATAAATAAAATCTTTCTTTTGATTGCACTTGGCAAAAAATTCCGCCTGTTCGGACTTGTGAAGGGAATGATGAGGTGGAGACACTATTTTAACAAAATAAATTAAACAAAAACAACAAATATTGAAATTTTGGGATTTATTATTTATTTTATTTATTTTTTTTTTGGTTGGTGGGGGGTATATAAAACATCTTTCTGAAGAACAAATTAATTGTAAAATTCGTGAATTTTTATTTCTGTAAAGTTTTTAGAAATATATTAAAATTGGATTTAACAACAAAAAATTTATTTCCGAAACATGTTGAAATATTAGGCATGTATCAGTTTGTAATAATTTTTTTTTTAAACCGAAGCTGACAGTGATTGCTTTTAGTCTTATGATATTTGGATACAGGCCTTCAAAAGTCTTTCATCGTAAGACCTTAAGACCTTTTTTTCTCTAAGGTTTTATTTGATTAAACTGAAATAGTTTATAATGCAGTATAATGCATCACGCTCAAGACAACCACAATTTGTTCTGATCATTATCCTGATTTTATTTAAGCAATGCCTACGACCTACAGCAATAAGTGTACTACAATTTAGAAATATATATTTTTCTTTTCGTCAGAAAAGCATGGGCCATTTAATCGTATAAATTGGTTTTGATACTACGAGTGACTTTGAAAAAAAAAAGACTTAAAATAAATTATTAAAAAGATTTATGTGGGAATTTTCTTTCGCAGGGACCCGAGGTATTTATTCAAATTTAAGTTAAAAAATTTTGGAACACACACATGCCTAACACCCCCCCCTACCCCCCACCCCCACCCCCATGGACCCCACACATGCCTAACCCCCCCCCCTACCCCCCCCCCCCACCCCCCCCCCCACCAATACACACATTTTTTTGACAACAGTTTCAAAAATCACTTTTACCAAACGCACAAACTCAAAAAGAATAGACATGCTTCAATCATGTTGTTTGTATGAGTTTGTCGTCGTGTTTATTTGGTCCATCTTGTCATCATAGGTATAAAAAACATTTCAGTAAAATAAAAGCAATAAAATTAAATGTAAGCGAAATTGTAAATGTCAATATTAAACCTGTAAATATCGTGTCGTAGAAGGCAGTATAAGTTTGGTTACAAATTAAAAATTAAAAAAAAACTGGCCATGCTGAAACTTCCTGTGAAACCTTAACTTGTTTCCTTCCATCACTGTATGCACAACATCACCGGAAATAACAATATGACAGTCATTTAATTGCGTTTCAATTGCATGACATGAAAAAAACAATGAATATGACTTTCATAACATTGGTATGACTGAAGAATTTTCTTTTGAACCCGTTTTAAATAAACTTGCGATAATTGTAGTCTCCAACTAAACATGATACGATATTGAACGATGGGTGGAATTCGATAAAGAAAATTTAAAGAAAAATAGTCGATTTCCAAGTCTATGTTAAGAGACATTTAACTCTAAACCGATAAAATTGTCTAAATATTCTATAAATACCACAGGACTGTAACACCCACCCCCAACCCCTTTTTTCCCATCTAAATTACTTATTGTAAAGTCTGAAATTAAAAGATGATTGAAACACTATCGTATGGTTTGTGCATTCGTTCGTTCCCCAAGAGAAGTTCACGCCGCGCGCTATGCTGCCTCCCCTTCTTCCTCCTCCTCCTCAAACTCTCCCTCCTCTTCTGCCGTCGCGTCCTGGTACTGCTGGAACTCCGAGACGAGGTCGTTCATGTTGGACTCTGCTTCGGTGAACTCCATCTCGTCCATGCCTTCGCCCGTGTACCAGTGGAGGAAGGCCTTACGCCTGAACATAGCTGGGGAAAGAGGGACACCAAGAATGATGTTATAGAAGCAAGTTCATTGTTGTTGAAAAAATGGCGCACGCCGGTGGTTTGCCACTGGGCTTTATTTTCAGATATCAAATACATTTACAACAGCCCCCTAAATCCCGTCTATCCTACTTGAATATCGCTTCTGGTGTGAATGCTTTCTATCCCACCAACCGGGCCTTCCCCTAATCAACATGTTTTAATTTATATTATTAGTACTAAGTGTGTGGGGGGGGGGAGGAGGGGGAGAGCTAACAACCAGCAAGCGTCACGGTTGAACTCCGGTATAAAGGTTCAATTTTTTTTCGGAGGCTAATACTAAATAATCAATGAAGAGCCACGGGTATCGGGTAAGGACTGTCTCTAGTTTAGGCCACTTGTTTAAATGCCTGCAGGTAGCGTGCAGGATTGTCTTTAGGCCTATGGTTAAAGGCAGGCATATATTACAGAAAACGAGAAGTTCACTTTTTTATGTTTGTTTGTTTGTTTGTTTGTTTGTTAACACATGGACGAAACCATTTCAATTTGGCATACGTACTCTATGCTTTAGAAGCTTACTTAAATAAAAAAAAAAAGGGGGGGGGGGGGCCACGATTTAAAGCAAAAAAAAAAAAAATCTGCAGAGGCCAATCCGCCGACGATAGTGGCACCGTGGCATGTAGAGATCTTTTAGTTTTGCGCACACCTTTATAAAGTGCACCAGCTTGTATGTTAAAATGACTTTCTCGTTAAAAACAAACACACACACACACACACCCAAGTTTCCTGAGCACATTCCCACAGCGGCGTAGCGAGGGTGTTTGGCGCCGGGGGACAAGATTCGCGCCCGGGGACAAGATCCATTATAAAGCGCCCCTTTTTATTTTTTTTTCAACTCTCAAACCCACTATTTTCATCAATAAAATAACATAAAAGCACATTTTGGCGCACCTAACTACCTGGCGCCCGGGGACATCTGTCCCCCCTGCCCCCCTCGCTACGCCTCTGCATCCCCACCACACCAAACAGAGACACTGCTCAGTGAATAGCTCAGAGTTTGCCGCCTCCGTCCCTGTACCATACACAGTTAACCGTATCCATCCCGTAAAGGTGAAGAAAGCGCTACATTTCAAAATGGCGACCTACCGGTAAATTGTTCAGATATCCTCTTGAAAAGCTCCTGGATGGCCGTCGTGTTGCCTACGAACGTGGCCGACATCTTGAGCCCCCTGGGCGGGATGTCGCACATGGCCGTCTTGACGTTGTTAGGGATCCACTCCACAAAGTAGGACGAGTTCTTGTTCTGGACGTTCAGCATCTGCTCGTCGACTTCCTTGGTGGACATGCGCCCTCTGGAACGTGAGAAAATGCGCATATTAATTAGTGTAGATACGTGTAGAAGACTTTTAAAAATATTTTTTAAAATGTTATTTTCTTTTGGTGGGGAAAAAAAGAAAGGGGCGATGGGTTTGTAAGTGGGGAAATATCCGCTGTCATAACAAAAAATCCCTGGACCCAGAACATTTTATTTTTCAACCTGCAATAATTCGACTCACAATTCAATAATCTGTCGCCTACTACAGTGGTCGGAAAACTAAGTCAAAAAAGCCAAAAATCAGAAACAGGAAGATAAAAAAAAAAAATTTGAGAGCCAAATTTCTTTTCAAGAACCTGTCAAGAACCATGTTTTTCGGAACCGTGTCAAAACCGATTTGTGGCCGACTTGCCGAGCCGCACTCAGGTCGTTAAAGAGCCGCATGAGGCTCGCAAGCCACGATTTTCCCACCACTGGTCTACTACAGTAGATTTTATATAAACTGAGTACTATTATATGCCAGTAAGAGGTCCGCTTTTCAAGAAAAACTTAGAAAAAAAATGCAATTTTCATATTGTCTGTTTTTCTAGAAAAGCGGTTCTCAATCTGTGGGGTCGCGACCCCTTTCGGGGTCGAACTACCCTTATACAGGGGTTGCCTAAGACCAACGGAAAACACATATTTATGAAATAGGAAAGAAAATAATTTTATGGTTTGGGGTCACCCAAACTGAGAAACTGTATTAAAGGTTGTGGCATTAGGAAGGTTGAGAACCACTGTTCTAGAAAGAAACTCGGTAACTGATTAGTCCGAAGCCTCATTAATTTCCCTTATCATTAAGTTTTCTATCAGATGATGCCTGGATCTACCATTACACGTGACTCACCTAAACATACAAGCCACTGTCAGGTATCTTCCGTGTCTGGGGTCACAGGCAGCCATCATGTTTTTCGCGTCAAACATCTGTTGCGTCAGTTCCGGTACCGTAATGGCGCGGTATTGCTGCGAGCCCCGCGAGGTCAGCGGTGCGAAGCCCGGGATGAAAAAGTGCAGCCTTGGGAACGGAACCATGTTAACGCACATCTTGCGGAGGTCGCAGTTCAGCTGTCCAGGAAATCTGAGGCAGGTAGTGATGCCAGACATGGCCGCCGATATCAGGTGATTTAGGTCTCCATACGTCGGGGTGGTGAGTTTTAAGGTCCTGATAAAGACATTGGCAAGGTTTAAATTTTTTAATATACATATATAAGTAAATGAAAACATCTTCAGTGCTGATATTGTATATTTTATCGTTTATTTATTTTTTTAAATTTGAAATTAGAAAGAACGGCGTCTTCGCCTCGACAGAGCAACTCGAGTTGGCCACCACAACATCTATCACGTGATACAAGAATGACGTTAAATTATTCGTATGCGCTAGAGTAAATATTTTTTCTCTTAGTAGTTTGGGTCAAGGGGTAAATCTAACGCTGGATTGACTGCAACTTTGCTTTATGTACTGTAAAATGTTGCTTTTATATAATGTACAACTTTTGCTTTTTATACTGTACAACTTTTGCTTTTTATACTGTACAATCGTGCTTTATGCACCGTACAACTCTGCTTTTTGCACTGCAACTTTGCTTTATGCACTGTACAACTTTGCTTTTAACACTGTGCAACTTTGCTTTATGTACTGATCAACGTGGCCATCCTCAAAATTAGGATTTGAAGAGCCTCCCACCTGAAGCAGATGTCGTACAGCGCCTCGTTGTCGATGACATACGTCATATCCGTGTTTTCGACGAGCTGATGAATGGAGAGGGTTGCGTTGTACGGCTCCACTACCACGTCAGACACCTGAAAGTAGTCTCACTGATTCAGTATTGAAAACTCAAACACATTAAAGACACGAAAAAAAAAATTAATCTTCATTTATTTTTTTCCTCACAGACACATTTCAATATGACCAACATTAGCGACATTTATGAAAAATTATTATCAACATAAGTATAAGACGTACCCTCTATCACGTATGTAACTATTTGATAAGACGTACAATCCTGCTTGTATCGTAAAGTTTATAGTATGGCATCAAACATTCTTAAGTTCTCCTGTTTGTTATAATACAAGCTTAAAGCAATCGAGGGGAAAAAATCCCACACATGCTGAGAACTCCAGTTCACATTTCTTTCAAATGCCCCCAAGGGAATCTGATTTTTTTTTCTCCAGAAACCCCCCTGAAATTCACACGGAATTATTTCGTACAAATCATTTATTTATGGTTGGGGGGGGGGGAGGTGGCAATGTCCAACAATTTTTTTTTCTCCAGAAACACCCCTGAAATTCACACGGAATTATTTCGTACAAATAATTTATTTATGGTGGGGGGGGGGGGAGGTGGCAATGTCCAACGAACTGTTGGCATGGCAACCCCTTGCTGCCTTCAGCCACTAATAACTACAACGTCTGTTTGTGGCTAAAAACTGACCTTAGGGGACGGTACAATGGAGTACGTGGTCATGATCCTGTCCGGGTATTCCTCCCTGACTTTGCTGATGACGAGAGTGCCGAGGCCAGATCCGCTTCCACCGCCGAGAGAGTGGGCGAGTTGAAACCCCTGATGATACAATCAGTCAATGGTTGACATTTGTAAATTGTTGGTCATTTTTTTTAATAATGATAATTATCCACTTCCTTTTTATATTCGGTGATCTTATATTTTAACCAATTTTATTTCCCTTAAATGAAAGAAAATATACATATTTTTTTATTTTTTTTTTGGGGGGGGGGGTCAAATTCGTACCAATGATATTTTGTAGCATGTATTAAATCATTAAGATGTATTAATACGATGTATAGACATTTTCAAAACGGTCTTTAACTTATTGAACATCATTATATCTCACTGCATTAATTTAACATGGAAAGGGTCGTAGCCGTTTAGCTTCCAACGTCAGCGGACTGCCTCAGACCATCTATTTCTTTTTTTTTTTTAACTTTTAAAAGAACCCAACTTACTTATAAACAGTCACACAAAGGTCCGCCTCTAACTTAATTGTAAACAGTCACACAAGGCTCCGCCTCTAACTTACTTGTAAACAGTCACACAAGGCTCCGCCTCTAACTTACTTGTAAACAGTCACACAAGACTCCGCCTCCAACTTAATTGTAAACAGTCACACAAGGCTCCGCCTCTAACTTACTTGTAAACAGTCACACAATGCTCCGCCTCCAACATAATTGTAAACAGTCACACAAGACTCTGCCTCCAACTTAACTTATAAAAGTCACACAAGACTCCGCCTCCAGCATAATTATAAACAGTCACAAGGCTCCGCCTCCAACTTTCTTGTAAACGGTCACACAAGACTCCGCCTCCCACTTACTTGTAAACAGTCACAGAAGACTTCCCCCACCACCCCCACCCCTTAATTGTAAACAGCCACTCAAGACTCCACCTCCCACTTACTTGTAAACAGTCGCACGACTCCGCCTCTTTCCTTGCCACGTCCAAAACAGAGTCGACGAGTTCTGCCCCCTCCGTGTAGTGACCTTTCGCCCAGTTATTTCCGGCCCCTGACTGACCAAATATGAAGTTGTCCGGTCTGTGAATCTGACCAAAGGGGCCAGATCGAATGCTGTCCATCGTCCCTGCAAACAGTATAACGACAAAGCTTACAAGACGCCGTTATAACAAATTATCCTCATCGCCCCTCTCATGACAAAGTCTGAGGCTTACAACGCTTCCAAACTATCCGGAAAAATTGCACATGTCACTAGACGAGGAGAATAAACAAGTTCAGGGAGGGTGGCCAGGTTAAGATGGGCCAAGGCTTCCCCCCCCCCCCCCCCCCCCCCCCCCCCCCCCCCTGTCACGATGGATTTGTCATTGGACATCTTTTCTGTAGAGAATTAGAGGATCCAGTATTGTCCGAATTGATGCCACTGAGGAGGAATGTCTAAAGAAGACATCCTGGTGTGGTCGTAAAACACTCAGCAAAGGATTAGTATAGAGTTGCTCCGCCTTTTACTCTGTTGGGACACATGTGTGCAAGGTGAACCCCAATAGCATGAAGACAAGGAGAGTTTTCAAATTGATATACAAAAGGACCCCTGCTACAATGAACACACTAATAGCTTTTAAATGTATGTACTCAATACTAAATGACCTCTACAAATAAGAACACACTAATAGTTTTCACATTTATGACCCATACTAATATAAAGACACAACGAGTTTTCATTCGTCTATGGCAATGGCAGGCCTGCACAACTTAAAATGTAAGGCGTGTCGTAATGCTTTATGAAAAACTTGGGAGGGCAGAAAGAAAATAGGACCCGGAGGGGGGGGGGGGGGGGGAAACTATAAAAAAAAAAATAAAAAAACCCGAAGGGGGGGGGTGGGCGAAACTATTAATAAAATAATAATAATAAAGAATTTTGAGTTTCTTCGCGGGCCCCAAAGTGGGTGCTGGCGGGCCGCATGCGACCCCGCGGGCCGTATGTTGTGCAGGCCTGGTACATGGCATGAATACAATTACTGCATACACAAGAAAAGCTGTGCCAGTTGACGCTACCTGGCTCCAGGTCGACGAGGATGCCCCGGGGCACGTATTTCCCGCCCGTAGCCTCGTTGTAGTAGACATTGATCCTCTCCAGCTGCAGGTCACTGTCCCCGTGGTAGGTCCCTGTGGGGTCGATCCCGTGTTCGTCTGAGACCACTTCCCAGAACTTTCCGCCGATCTGGTTTCCCCCTGTAACAAGATAGTTGCATGGGTGACCCGTGATACATCGCTAGCAAAGTCGCTGTACCCAGAAGGCTAAAGAAGACAGTTCGCGCCATGACGTCATTTGCGTGTTTATTTAACTTTATAGCTTTAGGGTTCCGGTTAGGCTCAGGGAAAGGTTTAGGGTTTGGGGTAGGTTTAGGGTTTGGTATATATATTTATATACCCGGTCTAGGGTTATATGTTGAATTACCTAAAACATAAACAAGTTGCGCCACCTACCTTGTCCAACTTGGAAATGTACGATTTCTCTCATTCTGGCTAGTGGTTCTCTGCTGGCGGGTCCGAATTCAAGTCAATTTTTCCCAAGATTTTTAGAGTTTTAGTAAAACTCTGGACTGTCGGCAACACTACGTGAAACAGGCTCAGCGTCCACAGACTAAAATGCCAAGTAATTTTTTTTTTATTGTGATTCGAAGCAGAGTGGACAAATGGTTGTTATTTTTTTTTCTTCCTTTTCTCAATGAGCTTGCTTCTGCGGTTTCTATGTCAAAATTTACGTCAATCGTTTAATGACGTCAAGGAGGTTTCGTTTGAAAGAATTAATCGGACATTTCCGAACTATTAATGGGATACCAAAAAAAAATCCTTCGCGCCAATGGATGCAATAATGATGTGAAGTTTGTACAGAGATTTGGAGAGTTATTTGTCCGTGGGTATCTGAAGTAAAATCAAGTTTTGTTCTCATTTAGACTGACCATTCTTCTATCCATTCGTCTGTCTCTTCGTCTGGATATGGAGAACTTGAGAACTGACAAGTCTTTTTTTTGTTTGTTTGTTCCACGGTCTTCTTCTTTTCTTCTTCTATTTCTGTCCACTTCGACCGGAGAGGGCATTTCTGGAGGTACAGTTTACGAATAGCTGAAGCGAGGCTTATATAATGGACGTTGGACAGTCGATCCACCGGACGGCGTGGCCTTCATCTGGTCCTGAAACCGGAATGCCTGTCACTGTTGTTGTAATGTCAAACAACCTGCTCGCACTGAAGTTCCTTTGACATGCATTATGACCAGGTGGCCAAACAAATTAATTTGCTGTTGGGCCATACACTGTTTCCATGGTAACTTTCTAAAACTCATACGACCGGTGCTTTTTCTTGTGTGTGAGGAAATTGTACACTACAAACAAGTATTCAGCCAAATCTTAAGAAGGTATATTGTCGACAGCGGTTGATACGTAGAATAATGGCCAGAGTGAGCCTTGGAGGTTTGCTGAGATACCACTGTGAGATGGTGGGAGTGAGATGGTGGGAGTGAGATGGTGGGAGTGAGATGGTGGGAGTGAGATGGTGGGAGTGAGATGGTGGGAGTGAGATGGTGGGAGTGAGATGGCGGGCGAAAGATGTGGGAGGGATAAGCAGGAGTGAGATGGTGGGAGTGAGATGGTGGGAGTGAGATGGTGAGAGTGAGATGGTGGGAGTGAGATGGTGGGAGTGAGATGGTGGGAGTGAGATG